ATTTGTATTTAGAAAAAAAAAAAAAAAAAAACATTTATTTTTGTGAAAATTCACAGGGAAATTTCTTTTTTAAAGATTAATTTTAATATGATATCTATTAAAAAATATAAAAAAAATCATAATAAATTCAATAATATTTCATAAACTAAATATATACTATATTTTTAGTGTAATTTGTTTAATATATATATATATATGTATATAATTTTAAATTAAAGCCATGTGATAACGTCAATTTTGAAGTAAAATAATCAAATTTACAATATAGTTAAAAATAATTGATGATATATATAGGCAGACAAAGACCCTTCGGTTGAATTTTAAAAAATGGGCAGTAAATAATTTTGTAGCATTTATTTTTGGTACAAATAATATTCTATAGTAGGTAAAGCAATAATAAAATATTTATTCTAAAAATGAATATCTAAATATTTTATAATATATAGTACACATTATTTGGATGGAGGGCCAATTTCAATGAAGAGGTTTTAATGTTTGGGAATAATAATTATAATGTCATAAATTAAATTTATTTTTCATGTCCCTTTCTATTTTTTTCCTCATATTTATTTATTTATTTATTACGTGCATGTAACAGGATGAATGGGTGATATCCAAAGTTTTCAAGAAAACCGGCGCCGCCATGCACGGCGGCTCATCGACGAGGAAGACTCGCCTGGATCCCGAACCGAGTTCCCCTTCCTTGGTGTCTCTGCCTCCTCTTCTCGACTCCTCCGCCGACCCGAGTGAGCACGAGCTGCACGTGACCTGTTTCTCCACCAATAACGTTAACTACCCCGCCGGCGGAGGCTCTGATCTCTCCCCCTCCGTCTTCCCGAACCTTCTGAGCTTCCAGGAGAATCTGCAGGCGCCGTTCTTCTCCCCCGTGGGTCCGCCGCTGGTTCATCTACTCACCGACGCTGCTGAGTTGGTTGGGTGCGGCGATGGTCCGGCGCCGGAGGATTCTAGGCTTGTCGGCTCCGCTGACATGGCTACTTATATGTGGACCTTCTGAAAATTCCCTTTTATCTGTAATATCTGAAAAAGAATTAAGAACGTGACAAATGAAAACAGACCCCTTTTTTGTATTATTATTATTTTATTAGAACTTCGAAATGCCCAATTAAATGATGCCACGTGTCGTTTAGAAAAGTTTCTCTTTTTTCAGTTTTTTTTCCTTTTATTTTGTTTTTTACTTTTATAAAATTTGTTTAAAAACTTTTTAAAAAATACCAATAAATTTTTAATTTTTTTTTTATTATTACCCTTCCATTTAAAAATAAAAAATAAAAAATAGTTAGTAATTATTTAAAAAATATCAGCATTAACTGAGCAGGGGAAGCGTAGTGGGCCCATAACCCACGTATCTGAGGATGATGTCCCACATTAGTTGGGGAGGAGAACATACCACAATTTATAAGGTGTGTGGAAATAGTCCCCTAACAAAAATGTTTTAAAGCCTTGAGGGAAAGCTCGAAAGGGAAAACCAAAAAATGACAATATCTGCTAACGGTAGATCTGGACTGTTTCAAATGGTATTATAACCAGACACCGGACGATGTTCCAGCCTTCTCGCTGTTCCCCAAAGGAGGTAGACACGAGGTGGTGTGCCAGTAAGGATGCTGGGCCCCGAAGGGGAATGGATTGTGATGTCCCACGTTAGTTAGGGAGGAGAACAAACTACCCCACCCCTTGTAAGGGTGTGGAAACCTTCTCCTAGGATAATATTTGCTAGCAGTAAATCTAGGTCGTTACATTAACACTTTATAAATTTTTTTAAAACGATGAATATATAAATAAAAATCGTCTATCGATATTTCATAGATTATCTCTACCAACATTTTAATATTATTTTAAAAAATTTATGGATGTATTTGGACACTTTTGAAAATTAAAAAGTAATTTTGAAACTATTTTAAAAATTAAATAATATTTTTTAAACACAGTATTTATATTTTCATCCAAAACTGAAAATAAAAGTATTTTTTTAATTTAAATAGATTCTATAATTATTTTATTAAATCGTGGTTATTATTTTAAATAGATTAATTAATTATTTTATAATAGAATTTTGAATGTATTAATTTTGGAATAATAAATAAAAATAAATACCGAAAGAGAAAGATGAATTGATTCCCATGGAAGATGGCGGCAACAATTCGAAGGCATTGTTTGGACTCGGCGCTTTCTTGTGGAGAAAGGAACCGATTTCTCTGTGATTCTGCGTCTTCAACTCCTCCAAGCTTCGTCTCTTTCAAGTGTCTCTCCTTCTCTGCTGCTCTCTCGTTGAGCGTCGTTCCCAATGTCAAAGGTAACTGCGAACATTTCATCCTAAATCATCATCGCGAATCCATTCTCTTATCGTCACTTCTTATGAAGAATTTGAAAATCACAATCAAAAGATCAGAAAGAATGGGAACTAAGTATCATAATCGAGAATTTTGTTCGGAGGGGTTTATTTATAGTTTTTTCTTACAAGCCAAACAGAGGGCGGGGAAATTTAACATTTGGGGGATCTGTTGAAATTTTCAGAATCGTTGTCACAGAGCGCTCGGGAGAGATCAATTCGTCATGGATCTGTAATTTGCATGGCCAGAAGATATGCTCCTAACAATACGAAGAGAAAGGTATGGTTATTTTAGCTTCGACAGCGTGTGAATCATGGTAGAATTTTGCAAATCGAGAGGCCGGGGATGCGTATCATATGTTTGTGTATTTGTCTATGTTAGGGCTCTAACCATATTTCTTCTTGTGAGATCAATCCATAGATATCGATAGAAAATAAATTCAGTTATAAGAAGTACATGTAAGAGCATGATTGATCAAGTCCTTATCAATTTTGATTAATTTCTATATGAACAAGTGTAATATATGAAATCATCTTCAAACAGAATTGACCCCCTTTATGTTAGTTTGTATGACGTCCTTCAAAAGTCCCGCGTTCTGATTGCTATCACTTCCATATAGTACATGTAATAGCTCAAGCCCACTGCTAGCTGAGTCCTCTTTGGGCTTTCCCTTCAAGAGTTTCAAAATGCGTCTGCTAGAGAGAAGTTTTCACACCCTTACAAAGGTTATTTCGTTCTCCTCTCCGACGTGGGATCTCACAGTATAGAATGTATATTTATCTAATTTGATTTCGTATCTTTGAAACGAGGTGATAGAGAAAATCTGATTAACATTCTGCTGGGATTATTCTACACCGAAGTTTGGATTATTCTACTATAGTGATGCAAAAGTCATTGGGAATAATATTGTGTAATTTGTTCATTATGTTAATTTCACTGATGATTTGATCATGAAATAACTTGTCGATTGCATTCAAATGCAGAGGTTGAGTAGGAAGAGGGGTGGTGATCCAGAAAAGAAAAAGAAGACAAGGAGGAAAGGGGGAAGGAAAGATTTCAAAATAATCCGACTCTCCTCAACTGCTGGGACTGGTTTTTTCTATGCCAAGAAAAAAAGCAGGAAGATGGCTGATAAGATTGAGCTCCAGAAATTTGACCCTCTTGCAAAACGACATGTTCTGTTCACTGAAGTCAAGTAAGTCAGCTTGTCCCCTGTGATTATATATATATATAGATACATACATAGATTCATAGGCTAGATCGGTCAAGCATTGCTTGTAGGAATCTTTTGTTCTAGTTCTGTGTGAACTGTCGTCTGAAAGATCCATTGCTGTCTAAAGGAAATCTTTGAGTTCAAGAACTGGAGGAAATCCAATTCTAAAATGTTACAATAATGGTTATAATTACATCTGGGTTAATAATAGCCATTAAGTATGAAGCTTACAAAGCTTGGAATGCCTTGAATAGTTTCATTTTGAGGCTATATAAAGCCATGTATATCGTATTTGTAAGCAGATTTGGAAAATGTAGTAAAAGAAGCATTTGTGCTCTTCTTTAGCGAATTACTAAGTTTCTTTGCAATTCTATGTAGTTTAAGTTACATGTTGAATCATTCAAGCTCGATATGATCAATCTTGCTTGTGGAATGATTCGAATCTCAATCAAGTGTTCTTGCCTTGAGATATTTGATCAACAAAAATCATTCAAGCTAGACATGATCGATCTTGCTTGTGGAGTGATTCGAATCTCAAACAATGTTCTTGCCTTGAGATATTCGATCAACAAGGTAATTCAAATCTTACTAGTGATCTCCACGTATCAGTTCAAGAACTAGAGGAAACCCAATTCTAAAATTGACCTGCATAGTAAAAGCTTTAATAATCATGGGCATAAGCACCAAGTTATGTACACTTTCCATCCTTCCTACCTTTACTCACAGCCTGGTAAGATTGATTTAAATAGTTTTGCTTTACAATATCCAGTTTCATATATGAGGGATGAAATACAAACCAAACGTTGAGAGTGGAAAAACCTACAATGTAACACCATCTAGCCATGAAGAAACTTCTTCAATCGAAGGTCTCTTCCTTGGATCTTGGTCTATGCATTTACAAGTAATACCAAGGACCGCTAGAATCTGTTTTTTGCTATTTGTATCCCAAATTGCTGGATCAATAATCTCCTCTTCTTTCTTTTCTGATTTCTTCTGAATCACCCATGACACCAGATCCCTGCAGGCTTTACCTTTGCATACCTCTACAGGCCTCCGCCCAGTTAGAAGCTCGAGAAGAACAACGCCAAAACTGTAAACATCGCCCCGGCAAGTAGCAATTAACGTCTGGCTGTATTCAGGAGGAATATAACCCAATGTCCCAACCAAGTCTGTGGTAACATGAGTGTCATATGGCCGGAGTAATCTTGAAAGGCCAAAATCAGCTAAATGAGCCTCGAATTTGTCATCCAGAAGTATGTTGCTCGACTTGACATCGCGGTGAATTATGTTTGGTTGACATTCCTTATGCAAGTAAGCCAATCCATGAGCTGCACCCTGTGCGATTTTGAGTCTTGCTTCCCATTTTAGTATTGAATCTTCATCATCAACAATCTCATGAAGCCAATAGTCCAAACTTCCATTTTCCATGTAGGAGTAAATTAATAGCCTGTCGTTTCCATGTTTGCAGTAACCTTGAAGAGAAACAAGGTTCTTATGCTGCGCCCGAGAAAGAGCTTCTACTTCAGCTTGGAATTCCCGTTCCATCTGACCACAATCTCCTGTAAGCCTCTTGACTGCAGCTTTTGAACCATTGGGAAGGCTGGCTTTGTAAACCAGGCCAAATCCACCACAGCCGATTATGTTTGCTTGGTTGAAATTGCAAGTAGCTTTTAACAACTCTGCAACTGTAAGATCCTTGCATTCTGAATTCTGAAAGAGCACCAACTTTGATGATCCAAGAGCTCCAGATAACCTGTTAGGCCGGTCAAATTCCTCGTCAAAACTGTTATTCCGATCTCCAACATCTTTCCTGGACATTTTGAGTAGAACCACTGTAAGGACCAGGAGGATTGCTGCAGCTGCTCCGACTGTAAGGCAGAGAATGACACTTCTCCCAACTTTTCTCTTTGAGTAAGTGTCGGTTTCAGGTCTTTTTTCTAACCCATCAACAGAACGACAAGGGTTGTCGATTTCCCCGCAAAGTCCTGCATTACCATCAAAGCTTGAGCTGGGAAAACTTAAGAATTGCCCTCCATTTGGAATTGGTCCCTCCAAGTGATTATTTGCCACGCTGAACTTTGACAAGAATGTAAGCTTTTTGAGTGATGGAGGAATTCGTCCATAAAGATCATTATTCGACAAATCTAAGGCTTCCAAGTTCTCCATCTCCGATATGGTGTTTGGGATGGACCCAGTTATATTGTTCCTACTCAAATCCAAGGCATGCAGCCCTTTTAATCTACTAATTTCTGGCCAAATAGTTCCATTAATTCTGTTGTAGCTCAAGTAAATCGATGGTGGAAAGCTCGACGCTTGGTTGTATTGCAAACCAGTGGAACTTTGATTTCGTTTGACAAAAAGGGGGATTCCAGCAGACGATGTTGAACCCGACAAGCTGCAGTTTCTGGAAATTAGTGCTTTCATCTGTGTCAAGCTTTTTGGGATTTCTCCTGACAGAGAGTTGTTGGATAAGTCCAAATAAAATAAATTCTCCAGCTGACCAATCCAAGCAGGGATACTTCCATCTAAGTGATTCCAAGACAAATCCAGGATGCTTAATTTCTTGCAACCTACTAACCAACCTGGAATTTGTCCTCTCAGGCCACAGTTACCAAATGCCAAAAGCATCAAGTTGTCGAAAACAGTTTCACTCTGTGGAATTTCCTCATTACGAAAGTTCTTTGTAAGAATAAGAACAGTCAGGTTCTTGCAATTATGTAGAATAGATAATGCACCACTCAAGTCTATAATACTATTGTTTGACAAAGATAGAAAGGACAGAGAGGATAGCTTAGCATAATCACGAGGAATTTGACCAGTTAACTTGTTCTTGGCAAGGCTAAGAGTTTTCAATTCATGGCAATCAGACAGAGAATTCGGTAGAGGCCCCGAAAAGTGATTAGAGGCTAGATCAAGCATTTGAAGATCTGGTAGCCTAGAAAAATTGAGATCTATAGCAGCAGTAAAGGAATTATTTCTAAGATCAAGAACTCTAAGCTTTGAGCACAATGACAGAGATGAAGGCAGAATTCCAGAGAACAAGTTGGAATGTGCAACTAACTCCCGTAATTCTGAAAAGTTACCAAACACATTTGGAAGTTCGCCAGAAAACTTGTTTCCGAATACGATAAAGGATTTAAGCCTAGAAAGCTTACTCAGTTCCATGCTTAACTGGCCAAAGAAGCTGTTCACAGGGATTGAAAAGTACTCCAAAAACGATAACGAATACAACGATTCTGGAAGATGTCCAGTAAGCAAGTTATTATCTGCACGGAAATGTTTGAGAGATTTGCTGCAATCGTTCACTCCTTGAAGATTGCCGGATATTTGGTTCAGTGAAATATCAACAACCTGAATCATGTTGGAGGAATTGCAAATCTGTGAAGAAAACTGTCCTGTGAAAGAATTGTTACTTATATTGAAGGCAACAAGATTTTGAAATCCCACTAGCTGGGGGAAATCCCCAATGAATGAATTGCTGGAAATATTAAGAACACGAACAGATATCAATCCTGAAGTTGCATTAGTGACTGATCCTGACAGCTTATTGTAACTCAAATCCAACACCTGGAGTTGCTTCAACCTTGAGAATTCTGTTGGCAAAACACCTTCAAGCTGATTGTATGATAGATTCAGCCAAATTAACTGATCCAAACCACCAAGAGATTGTGAAATCTTGCCTTTCAGATTCATATTAGGCAGTTCTAACCTGGTAACTCTGTTAGTGATAGAGCTGTTGCTATCATATCCACAAACGACACCATCCCAAATGCAGCAGTTGGGTTCCTTTAACCATACAGAGATAACAGAACTATTTGAAAGGCTATTCAGAAAGCCCCTCAATGCCAGTAAATCTCTTGGATCACAGAGTTGATTAGGCTGTTTCAGAGCCAAAGAGAAGGAAAAGAAGCAACTGAATAATAACATCCATTTGAGGATAGTCGGTTTGACAAGAGAAAGCAGCACCATATCTGGTCATACACTTGGCTGTTAAGAAATGAGAGGAATCCAAATAAAGAAAAATGTTGCAAACTCTAATATGTGGAAGAGAAGGAGGAGAATCCCAAGTTGAGCAACTTGCAGAAGAAGCAAAATAAAGATGGAATCACCAATCCCAATCCCAATCAGATACCAAACCCTTTCCCGATAAACAGAAACAGATGAACCCAGAATTGAACTGTCAAAACGAACACCAGAAAGCCACAAACTCAACAGAACAAAAGAAACTTGGAGAAACCCATATGCCAAAACGATATCAGATCCCAAAGAGACAAGAAGAAGAGTAGGAGAAGCTTGAAAAGGAAGAGAGGAGGAGAAACAAATAAAGAAATGATTCTCGCAGGGCCAGTGGAGATCATGACTTGCAAATGAAGTACGTAAAGTAAGTAAAGAGACAGCAGCAGCAGCGTCAGAAACGCCTCATTTTCTGGGTGAACTGTTGCGAGAAATCTGAGGTTAGAGTTCCGAGAAGCAATGTCAAATCTGGGTTTGGAGAAAAGATATCAAAAAGAGAAAAGGAGGAGCCGAGGAGAGGGAGAGCAGGGGCGGAGAACCAGTGTACTTTACAGTATATATATATATAATTGGAGTGAGAGAGAGAGAGAGCTGACTTGAGGAGGGGAAAATGGTGGCTTTTTGGAGGTGAAACTTGAGGGTTTACAGGTCTGAAAACTTGTCTCTTTTTTCACTCCTTTGTTTGTGATTGTCAGCACCTACGACGTTGATCTGTTCCTTTTTAATTTTATTTTTCTGTGTCTCTAGAAGAAATTGCAGAGAAAAAGAGGGAAAAGAAGGAAAGTAAGTGAGAGTGGAGTTGGAAAAGTTGGATGGTGCGCAGCGCAAGGACCGATGTGAGTTTTTCTCTTCTCTTCACGCCTACTCCATCTTTCATGCACGTGTCTCACCAATTATTTCCTTTTCTCTTCAATATTTTTTTTTTTTTTTTAAAATGTTCTTATTGGATTTTCCTAATTAAGATAAATGATATATTTTAGATCTATTAAAGCTAAGGTAGATAATATCATACTATTGTATAGGTTTTTTCATGCACGCATTGTGAATTATATCTTTTTTTCTTTAAATAAAACTATATTTTATATAAAAAAAATATATTTTGAAGTATTGTACAATAGGGTATACAAGTAAATTATAATTATGATTAAAGTAGACAGGATCATACTATTGTATAGGTTTTTTCATGCACGTGTCGTGAATTATATCTTTTTTCTTTAAATAAAACTATATTTTATATAAAAAAATATATTTTTTAAGTATTGTACAATAGGGTATACAAGTAAATTATAATTATGATTAAAGTAGACAGTATCTTACTATTGTATAGATTTTTTCATGCCCGTGTCATCAATTATGTTTTTTTTTTCTCTAAATAAAACTATTTTTATATAAAAAAAAGTATTTTTTTTTTAATGTAGTGTAATAGTATATATAAGTAAATTATATTATCTCACGAGACTTTTCATAAACCAAAAGCAAAACTACAAGAGTTGGTATGACAACAGTATCATACTATTGTAGATGTTTTTTAGTGGATGTGTCTCGCCAATTATTTATTTTTTCTTTAAATAAAAATATTCGTTTTAATAAATTTTATATTTGAAAATTTACTAAAATAATATTTTTTTTGTTTTTTCATATGTAATATTAAAGGTAAATCTTCATTAAATGTTACTGAAATTAGTGAATTTATAGGCATTTTGACAATATTTTTTTGAGTATATGAATTAGAAAAAATTGAAGTATTGATTTGTTGAATATTGTATTTAATATAATTAAGTGTAAAAGGTGAAATTTCAACCATGGAATAGGAAATAATTTGTTTGTTAGTTAATTAATGATAAACATTGCGTCCTTGGTGACATTAATAATAAAAAAATTCAAATAATAGAGGCATCATAAAGATTTCTCGACAAACTTAAATAATTATTTTTACTTATAAAATAAACAAATAAATAAAGTAATATGTTGAGTGATTTGACGTGATGTGCACGCGATTGGATGTCGCGTGTGGCGGGATGTTCGAAGGGGGGATATAAAAGTCAGAGTTCTTAGCGGTGGAGGGTCACCGTTAATAGCCGGTGGCCGAAACTGCTTTAGGCAGGTATCACGGGCTATCGGCCGTCGTCCATTAAAAAGTTTTAGGTGAACTGCCACGCACTTCTTCGCCCACCCATTTCTCTTTTTTTTTTTTTTTTTTTTTTTTTTTTTTTTTTTTTTTTTTTTTTT